ACACATATGGCCACTTTGTTGTTTGTAATGAAGAGTCCACACAAGTCTATGAATACTGATTAGGATTCAAGCAGAAGTAAAAGTGGTTTATTATTTTAGAGTATATGCACATTTATTTTCCTCTTTTAAATAATCCTAATAACATTACAGTTTGATGAAATAATCTAAATTGAATTAAAACTGAACAAATAGATTATATAGTCAATTAAATTCTACTTCAATGTCCATTATTAACTGATTCAAGACTGACAGTATGTTATCTGCTCATAGTAGTGATGGGTAGAAGCTGAGCTCTGTTGTCCTAGTTGCTCTGGGACGTACCTAACTTTTTGTCCCGTAATGTCTCAGGTGAGCTGTACTCCATAATTAAGTAGGTCGCTCTATATGCACAGATTGAAGGTTGAACACACTGACCTTACGTTAAAAAAGAGTTTGTCTAGAGAGAGTATAATTCGTTAATTAACTAAGTATTTTTCTACTAAGTTAGTTTTAGTGGTTACACAAATGTCTTCATACACATTCTTATATAGTTATGATATTTAGCCTCAAATCAGAATTAACCCAAGTATGGTCTCCCCATCCCCAACTTACCACATACAACGGTAACCAGGATGCTATCATATCAACTAGTCTAGGCAATAAATTCTTTAAAAATTCCTGGTATAAAAAATTGTGTTTAAAATAATCTGCTACTTCTACTACTCATTGCCACTGAGCACTCCTCTCCTAGAGCGATTAATATCACTGAAGCAAGGAAACTACTACTTATAGGATGAAAATTCAAGAGTTTTGATTAAAAAAATTTTTAATTAAAAAATATTTTAAAGTCTTGTATAATCAATAAAGAAGGAAGAAGAGAAAAATAAGGGTGGAAAACTGAAAAAAAAAAAAAAAAGTTCATGACCAAATGAGGAAGGAGCAGAATTTATTTAAATTAAGATTTTATCTGACCTCTTTTCATGTGATGCTAACATCTTTTTAACCCTAAACCTGTATATATGAGCTAATCCAAACACAAACATGTAAATGTTTAATTACTTACAATTTAAAACCATCTTTATTCCACATTGCAATAAAAGGATTCATAAATAAAACTTCATCGAATGAACTTTAAAAAGGAACAGCAGACCTTATTCCAGTGAATTCTTAGATTGAAATTCAAAAAGTGAGCACAAAACAGAAGCTGTGAGTACCTGTGCCTTAAAGCCAAGAGGTGCCTTCCTCTTGAATAAAGACTAAAGAATAAATGCTAAAGAAGCATAAAGACTAAAACAGCCTCCTGTTATAACAAGAACAGCAACACCAAGGTTAAAGAGCCAGATTTACATCAAGTAGATACCGTCCTGAGTTTGCTTTGAAAGGTACCTTGGGAGCATGTAAGAAAAGTCACTCCTAAAAGCAGTAAATGCAACTGCATTTACTTTAGAATGTGCAAGCCGATCGCGCAAATTCCTCTTACAAAGAAATGGAATCGGTGCTTATTCATTTGAGTCTTCTGAGAATTCTGAATTCTTCAAGCAATCCACAAAGTTCACAGATACCTTTCTTCATATGGTGGATTTAGGACTGACCCACTTACCTATAGTGTATAAGATGCCAGTAAAGATGAATTAATAGAGATTCACTCTAACAAGATTCCTAGTAAAATAAAGTAGGAGCAAGCAAAGAGACAGGGATATTTAGGAAAAAATAATTTGAAGTTTTAGGTGACAGTCCTTAATTGGTAAGGGAAGAGGTAGGGTAAAGTAGACGGGGGATTAAAAAAAAAAACCCAAAAAGCCGTCATTAGAGAAAATTTAATGAATTAAGAAACTTCAAACATTTAAATTTCTTTACCTGCAACAGCACACATAGAAGAACCACAACTTCTACTGTTTGTGAATTCACTCCCGTTTAATGCATGTCTTGAATGTCATGCAGCAAGTAACATTCTTTGCTAATTCTAAGACTATCTGAACCACTATCGTTCAGAAATATTCTCTTGAGACAAAACAGGTTTTCTTTGACCAGAACGACTTAATTGGCATACAGCAAACCTATCACTAAGATCTGTACTTCCAGCAAAGTTTCTCAAGCCGAGGTCACTTTCTTGGTGTTACAATAATGAATCCCTGCCTATTTTAAGTTATTTTCCCTACTCCGGGAAATAGCCTGTTCTAACTTTCACTTCTTATCTTTGTGATTAAAAAAAATAAGTTGAAATAATAAGGCCAACTTCCATCAAATATCTCACTTTCAACTACTAAAAATGTGACTACCTGTATATGAGAAAACCTGAATTTTTATTTTACTTCAACTTTGACTCACAAAGTTGAACACTCCTTTTACAGTTCTTTGGTTTTTAACTCCAACTAACTCATTATAGCAAATTAAAAATAAAAGATCTAAAACAATAATTTTTGAAAAAAAGAAACAAAGTAAAGTTTGGGAGAAAGTCATCCATGGATAAAAGTTGAAGAAAGATTTAAAGTTATTTTTACAATAAAAGGCTATAAAAGGGTCTCAAAAATAGGTACATGCAAATACACAGAAAAATCTCCAGAAATTCTAGTAAAATAAACTCTATTCTAAAAATCAAAGGACACCAGTAATTGTTTCTATTTCTAGATATTTAAGAATATTAATTTCTGTTACGTTATTGCTAGTAAGAAATGGTTGATGAAAATGGATCTTGTATGTATAAATATACATTTAAAGCAAATGTCTTCTAAAGAAAAGTTTAAATGTTAGTATGCACTTTTCAAATGAAAGAATTATCAACATAAACAAGTGTCACTAATTATCATTTTTAACATAGGCAATATCCCTTCTTTTGAACCAATAAAATGGCAATTTTTAACCTGCGGACAGCACAGGTAGGACAACCACAACTTTTTATTAAAATAACTGCCAGGATCATACTGTATGGGTCCAAATTAAGAAAGCGAAGTAAGAAACTGTCCATGACTTCTGATGTGGCAAATAGAGAAATGCCTAACTTCTAAACATTCGATTTTCTAGTTCTCAACCAGAACTCCTGACTCCACTCCTGCACACCCACATACCCCACACCCAAGGTAGTGACGCTTACATCGAGCCCCCAGCTGCAAGCACGTTCTAAGAGCACAAGAAATAAAGGCTTTGATGCTGGCTGGGGGGAACAGTTTAACGACTGGGAGTGAGACACTGCCACAGCTGGCTTACATTTCTGTTTCATGTAAAAAGCAGCATGCCTCTCTTCCCCAACAGGTAAAATCTGTTATCTTCTTTTGTCCTCACATTAACCTCCGAGTTTGGCAATCTAGTATCATTCACACTTCAAAGACTAAAAACCTGAGATTCGAAACTATCTCACTGTGATCCAGGTAGTAACTGGCAGGACCAGGTGCCACCTTCCCCACGTCATCTCCAGCTTCAACATCCTCTCCAAATTCTCAGCTAATAATGTAGGCAAATTCACCACAGCATCCTCGCCCATGTCATAAAGAGATCAATTCCTAAGCAGCATCAGGATATGCCAGAGAAATGTTTCAGACGACAGACAGCATCTTAGGTCACCCTCCAAACTTTAAGATGTCTTAGCATTATTTCAGCAGTTATTTCCAACCTTTTCATGACACAAAACTGAAAATGATAATAGGTGTACAGCCCACTGCTCAAGGCCAGAGCTGACCAGCCAGGAGGTGCCAGCAGCTCCAAGCCCTGCCCGGCCATACCAGTTCTAAAACTCCCACCATCTACTCAGACAAAGTAGACCCTTTTTTGGGTCAGACAAAAAAGGCGCAGAAATCAGTGAAGTAATAAAAGAGAAATGAAGATGAAAACCTCAAGGTCTAACTTTGACAGACTATGGGGAGTTTTCTTTTCCTAATGTCAACTTTGGACATATTCATTCAGCGCCCTGTACAGGGTGTGGACAAATTATACGCCAGTTCTGTCAGGTATCAGCGTAGGAGCTACCCAAAGAACAGAAATCACCATGGCAGAATTTGTTTAATACTGCAAATCTACCACCATTAAAAGAAAAACTCTAAAAAACTAATGACTAAGGCTTCCCCATAGATTACAGCTTGCTTTAGCATCCAGGTCATAAGTTAAGACTTGAGATCTTTCGTAGGTATTGTTACTTTTTAAAGGGAAAACAGAAAATACACCTAAAATCTTAACACTGTACTTGGATCAACACAATAATTAACGTCACACATATTCCTGTACCTAACTAGCTTGTTTAAAAAAAAAAAGTTTGTTTCTGTCCTTTTTCTCTCTTTTCCTCCCAACTTTTCTTTCTAGCTCTCATTTTAAACTAAAGTATTTTTATATATAAAACATTCTTGATTTGGGAAAAGACTAGTGCTTTAACTGAAGCAAAAAGCACAGAATTAACAGCCCATTAAAATGCACAAGACTAAATGTGAATGTATCTGTTTATTTACAGCTTTCGGTACTTAAAATTTCAAATAAAGCGATCTGTCCAATTGCTTTAGTTTAAAAAAATAAATCATTTTTCCATTCTCTTCTAGAAAAAGCTGCAGCACAAATTAACACAGTAGAGAGTAGTGAAAACAGAATTACATTTAAAACATAGTTTAGAAAACATATGCACCTCTTTTAGATTAGTAAGTATAAAATGTAATTGTTGGTGACAAAAGCCAACAAGAATGAAATACAGACATTTATATCTTATTATGTTCACATGTATCATAGAGACAAAAACAGTAAGTTTTAAACTTTTACTAGATATGAATATACACATATAAATAAGAAAAACCCTCTCTTTATTTTTACCCCAAAGTTTTCTTCTATTTTCAGTAAAATTTTTTTTTACTTTTCAAAAGTATATGACAACTGTCAGTACAAATCTCTCACTTCTTTAACATGTACTTTTCACACTATGATACACAGTTTAGGTATCATGACGTATTTTAAAATGGGTCAGTTTAGTGTCAAAACCCGAGATGCTTCAAGGAAACTAGAGAGACTTAAAGTTAGCAGTACGTCATATGGAATTGCAGCATACATACTGTATTGCCCCGTGCTAGTCTGATATATGCTAGTCGGCACTGCCATAGCAGCGATATTAGGTGACGTTCCTTCTTCCTCGGATTTTTCTTCTTCAATCTTGGGAACACCAGGCACATCAGAGGAAAGTTCATTCAGTATTTTTCTAAAATATAATTTAACAATATAAATAATTAAGATACATGAATGAGATTTAAAACAGAACAGCTATAATGGGAGAATCTGATGTATAATTATTCTCTTTTGGAAAAAGTATCATTACAGTAGGAAACTTAACTTACCTGTAAGAGGGTCTTCGTGAAAGGATTTCTCTGCGTTTATGAAAATCAATTACACTTTCTGATTCTGCAGACTCATCTGTCTCTGCAATTGTTGCTACCTATAACACAAGAGTTCCTGAAATGCATCATAAAATCCATGGTATCTCCTTCATTCACAACACGGTGCTTAAGGGTCTCTCTGTGTGCAGCACTAAGCCGGGCGCTGGGGACAGAACACACTGAGACGCACTAACCACGCTCACAACCTGGCGCAGAGGAAGAGGAAGCACAGACAACAACACTTAGTTGTAGAACCAGCCTGTGTGCAAAGGATGGCACAGATAACATATACTGCAGAAATGCAAATGAGTGTCAGGCAGCCTTCAGGAAAGCACTCAGTGTAAGATACACGAGACCTAAGATCCAACCCTGAAAATATCTCATAAATCCAGCAGGGGGTGAGCCAGCGAGTGACAGAGGCAGAAAATAATACCACTGCTGACTTATGCTGCTGGGTCTTCAAATTAGACATTAGATAGGTCCAAAGAAGAAAGAATATTTAAGCAGGTATAAACACGTGGGTAACAAGCCTGGTTAAAGTTACAAGAAGTAGGTGGGTGGGCTTGATGGCAGTAGGTCTTGAAGGTCAAAATAAGGAATTTCTCCTTAAAAGAAAGATCAGATTTTTAAATACAATTTCATTTTTTCAAGTAATAGTATAATAACAAATAGTAAAGAAAGTCAGGAAACTAAAATAATGAATCTCTCTACAACATGACTGCTCTCAATATATTCAGCCATCTATCATAGGGGCTAGGATAGTTCTGAGTTTGCAAAACTCACTTTACTTAATATTACAATTATATGGGAATTTGATTTGGGCACAATCAAAAAAGCTTATTAAAATACCAACAATGCAGGCAGGAATATATACTTCCCAAGGCACATGGATGTACATATTTGTTCACCTACATGTATGACCTTGCATCTCTGGTGATGAACACCCTACACATAAGCACACTCATCCATGAGGAGAACTTATTAGAGAAACTGCCGCTGCAAGTCAGACAACCATATATCATCACCAAATATTTATCACTGTAAAGTGGGCTTCCACACATCTCTCGTACAATCGTAACAACTCCCTTATGCAAGGTAAGCTATTATTTTAGAAAGTGAAAACTGAAGTTCATCATTCGACAGGTAGGAATTCTAACACAAGGTCCACAGACACCTACCTCTACAAAGATAATCATATCATCCATTTAACAAAATCCAAAAGAGCCTACTGAATATGAGATATTTTCTTCCAGTACCAGCAAGGTTAAAACTAAGTAGAAATATTGATATCTGCACCCCAATAAAAGTCATAATACAATAAGGAGAGTGGAAAAACTTTCTTGCTTTATAATTAGGGTCAGAAAGAGTCAGAAAGTCCTGGAATCAAAGTTCATTGCAGGAAATTAAAAAAAAAAAAAAAGACAATACTGAGAATCACTCTTACATTTTTGAAAGACAGGAGAGACACCTGTGCTGAAAAGATAACCAAGCTTTTAACGCATGTGGATTTATTATTACTTCAAGTGTCATGTTGCAACTCTCATCCTTATTCTGCAACAAACTGGATTCAAATATGCAGAAAAAGGTAAGACTGATTAAGTATAAGAAACTACATTTTCCTCAGAGATCTTTTTGTCATCAATTAGGTTCACATAATTCCAACATTTAAAGGACAAAAACAAACTGACCTTAAAAAGGAACAAACATAAATTCAGTAGAAGAGAAAAGTATGCTTTTAAAAATGCATACTTAATAATTTACATCTGTTGATGCAAAGAAATGTTTTAGCTTTGAGAAATGTTAAGAATTTATGACCAACTTTGATGACAATAAATAACAAAACACATCTCTGGATCGCAACCACAACACTAACCACGTCTAAAACAACCAAGATTTAATCTGATGTTAACACCAAGTAACAATAATATCATGTCACACATATTGAATTAACAATAAACCTAAGTTTCTACACTCTAATGTGAGTACTGGTGAAAACAGCATCAGTAGTACAATATTTACATTACCATGTTTATCAGACATCTCCAAAGAATCCTCAAAATACTTTTAAGCATCTTTGGAGAGCATTGCTAAACAAATCTAACTGTGAGCAGAGAGCAACAACTTAAAGGAGAATGACTCAATCTGTAAATTAAGAGCTGACAATAAAACAACTCGAGTCAAATCTATGTGTCTAGCAGGGCACAATGCACGTCACACATAAAAAGGAAATTCGTCTAAATGTTAAATAACAAGATCTGAGCATCAAAGCTACACAAAGAAAATGAGGATAAATGAATTAGTAAAAGAAAAAAAAAAAAAGCTCAAGAAAGTCCAAGACAAATCATCTGGGAAGGAAGCTAACCTGAACAGTCTGTAATTGTGGTGACTGAATAACCGATGGCTGTGGTGTCTGAAATACTCCCTGGACATGTACAGTTTGGCCTGAAGGTAACTGTACTAGAGTTACAGCTGGGGAGCCTCTTCCGGTGCCTGACCCAGCTACAGAAACCTGCAAAAATGATCATCATTGAGGATTAAGGCTGGACCTTTTCTTGGTTCTTTACGTTTTTCTTAAAGAAATACCATTCACTATTATGACTGGCCTATTTTTCCTGCTTCTAAGAAATGACAAGCAAGCTGGGGTATGTACCATTAGGAGATGGTTACTGTCCTGGAACAGTCATTCTCTGATGTGACAGATATTAAAGAACCCATGCTCCTCACTGTCGGTACCCATGCTTTGGTGGCTAAGAATGTTCCAAGCACAAAGTTCTAAAGCAGTTAAACTACCTCACTGCGACCTCACGACTGCTAACAGTGAAGCCTTCTTTAGGCCAGAGTATAAACCACCCTCCTTAACTTCTTAAGAGAAATCGGAGACAGAACTTAAAGATGGTAAATTATTTTTTAATAAATGAAACTTCTGACATATGATGTTATAGTATTACTCCAGACACAAGCTAATGCCTTGTCTCTATACTGATGAAAACTGCGGTTACTTTTATGCCCCAACAGTCACAAAAAGGGCACAGGCCAAAGAAATTCCAGGACCTCTCATGCCCCTCGCACCTCCGAACCAGAGAAAGCTCATGACTTGGAGCCTATGTGGCCCTGGCACACTTCTTTCCCCCCAACTCGAGCATCCAGAGGGGCCAGAACCATCACTTGGCTTGCACAGACAGGAGAGAACAGCCGTTTACCAGCTACCTTGGGTGCTTTGGACAAAGATCCCTACCAGTAAAACACAATAAAACCTTCACTTCTCTGGACTCAAAACCTGCCAAGTTTCTAATTAGTACACAACTGTCCTAGAGGCCAGTGTAATCTTACAAACTTTGCCTCATTTTACTAAGTTTCACTATTCATTATGACTTAACTCAGAACACCGAAAACTTTGGACATGAAAGAAGCTACTAGTTTCTATCATGAGTGGTGGCAGACCACAGAATCTAAAACAAATTTTGAAGAAAGCTTCCGTTGGACCTCACTTTAAGGAAAACCAATCATTTCCAATCTACTTACTCTAATACTTTAAAAAGAATTATTAAAAACTGGGTTTATAACAAATAATTAGATTTATTTAAAACATCATTCTCTTGGAAGGCAAACTTCTTCGGCAATCCAAAAGTAAAAACTCTTCTATCCATGCAAGAGAACCTATGCGGAGAGCATTGAACTAGGTGCCCTAGGGTGGAAAGCAGAATTGCTAAAACCAACACCTAAGAAACAACAGCACACAAACAGTACAGAACTAACTGCTCCATTGTCCAGGTCGTGAAAACCACAGGAGCACAGAACCGAAAGACCAGTATGGGCCTGAACAACAAGTGGAGGCCTTGTGTAGAAGCTGCCGATTGAGCTGGGCCTTGCTGTGGCCTGGGTAATAGCTGGACAGAAAAGCGAGAAACTGGGCCGGAGACACCCAACATGTAGCCCACGGGGCAAATTCAGCCCACCTGCTCCTGGAGTTTTATTGCCTACTTTAGATTTCAGGGGAAAGAAAAAGGGCATTCCATAATGGAGCCAGCAGATTTAACAACCAGAAGTTTAAAAACCACTAGATTTACTCTACAAATGTTCCCTGCATGAATTATAAAAAAGGATCCATCTCTTTGTGAACCAACTGCCAAAAGGTACTCCTTTGCCAAATGACCAATTCTCAAACTTTTTAGTCTCAGGACACCTTTCCACTCTTAAAAATTACTGATGACCTCAAATAACTTTTGTTTATGTGATTTATATCCAGCAGGATGCTGTAAACACACAAGCAGCTCCTGGGAAGGGAGAATGCTATGGGTAACTTTTGCAGATTTCTGTAATTTCAATACTCCTACTATGGCAGATTTCAAGCTACCAATGGGTGACACTGAACACAAAGCTGGAAAAAGATGTACACAATCGGCTCTCACAAGCCAGCTCAGCCCACTGTTGGTTATATGTACTGATATTTACATTAGAAATTAAAACTGAGAAATGTTTAAAATACTTAGTAACTCACTTAAAAATAACAATAATGCCATTACATGCTAACATAAATAACATTTTATGAAGATTACTTTCCAAGACAAAATAATTAATGACAAGAGTGTCAATGTTTTACATTTTTACAAATTCTTTTAATGTCTGGTTTAACTTAAAACAGCTGGATTTTCATACCTATTTCTGCACTGAATCTGTTGCAATATGTTATTTTAATCGGTATGTGAATAAAATATGCCTCTTACACATGTATGAATAGAAAAGGAGGAGTATTTCAATGGCTTTTTCAGAGAAATGTGGGTATTCTTCTTTGATACTACACCAAAATTCATCAAGTGGTTGTTTCTTAAAGGTTAGTGGCCATGTGGAATCTGAAAACTTAGTTACGTTAAAATCCATTCATCTACCTTATACTTATACATTGATCTATCTTATACTCTTTAGCCAGGCATGATTTTGTAACGTTATGTGCTAGTTATTTGGAAAATACTGGCTCACTGAGTTAAGTAGATCTCCCAAATGCTGACACATTTCATGATACACTATCAGAAAATCACATTCATTAAAATCAACATCAACTTCATCAGAAAACTATAAATACTGGGAAGCTATCATGCTCAAAATGGCAGATGGAGATTTTCCAAAATTCAAAACTGCTGCTTAAAAGCCTGAATTGCATCATTGGCAATAAATACTGTTAATTGTTTTCGTTGACGTGACAAGCTTACTTCATTTTTTTTTTGAATTTCGTAATTTCATTTTATTTATTTTTTTATACAGCAGGTTCTTATTAGTTATCCATTCTATACACATCAGTGTATACATGTCATTCCCAATTGCCCAATTCATCACACCACCCCCCTCCCGCCTCACCCCCTGCCACTTTCCCCCCTCAGTGTCCATACGTTTGTTCTCTACACCTGTGTCTCTATTTCTGCCCTGCAAACTGGTTCATCTGTACCATTTTTCTAGGTTCCACATACATGCGTTAATATACGATATTTGTTTTTCTCTTTCTGACTTACTTCACTCTGTATGACAGTCTTTAGATTCATCCACTCATTTTCTTTTGAGAAAATGTTTTTCAAATATTCAAGTCTGAACAGTCATAGTTTGGCTATTTGCCATTATTTCAAGAAAAATGATGTTCTGTTTGGGGGGGTGGGGGAATGCAGCTAGTTCTTCTTGCCTCTCATTCAATAACTCAAGTGTTTTTTTCTCAAGATCACCATTGGTCTTCAGTACGCAGCAGAAATGGTTTCAGTGAATGTCCCACTTCCACAGCACAGAATATTAAAACAACATGTACTCGAGGGTCAAGATTTAATACAATTGGTAATGTCTGCTGATTCATCGGGGACAGTCTTAAGTGAAACTGACATTTTTTTAAAAAAACTGCAAGTTAATGTAGTGAAGACCACAATGACAGTTCGGCACCACTGCCACTGACTTGATCATGCTAAGGTGCCAACAGTTTTACCCCCCAAACTGTTTTTGCACCATCAGGGCAAATGCCAATACAGAGAAAAAAAGAAAATAAATCTTAGTATTACCGTGAAAATAGGTTTGTCATCCCAAACCTCCAGGCATGATTGTGTAACACCATGTGGGAGTTATTTGGAAAATACTGGGTCCTTGGAGTCTCCTCCAGGCCTCCCTGAAAACTACTGCTCTATCCTCACGCAGCCCCTAGGTAAGCCCTGCTCACAGCTCAGAGCACAGAGCGCTGAAGCAGGCGGCAATTTCAGCTCCACCACAGCAGCACAGCCAAAACCACCGTATATAGTAACCCTGATAGAGCATTCGTATCGCAGAGATGGAGCAAAACAGAATATACATTATACCCAAGAGTATTACTAGTATTCCTGCAGACTGGACCTGTGGCTTGAGATGGCAGACAGTGCCACATTCACTTTCATGGGGAAATGACCAGCTTCAAAGAAATTAGATATTTTGAAGAATTGAAGAACTCAAGAAAGATTCATGGGGTTTTGATAAGTATAAATCATGCGTTAAGTTGCTCTAATTGTCTTTCGGGTGTAATTTTCAGGACTTCAAATTATTAAACAACGCTCTATCAAAAAGGCTTAGTGAGAAGAAAACCTGCTGTAGAAAGGGAGCTGTACCCACTAGTACAAAACTGTATTCCTAGAATTCTGGAGATGAGTTATACAAATCTGTAACTACAGTGAAAACTCTTACGTCTGAACTCTGGGTAGTACAAAAAGCTCATGAGACAACTCTTTAGTTAAACTGTTGAAATAGAGGCTGAGAAGCAGCACAAGTGACATACCCTAGAGTCACAATTCCAATGTATCCTTAAAAAACAACAACAACACTCTTAGATCTAGAGAACCTGTCAGGCATTCTACATTCTTACTGGTTTTGCCAAAACTGATCTGTGACTAGCATTAAGCTTGTAACTAACTGTACTGGTAGAGTTAACAGGATAAACATCATCATTCATAGGAAAAAAATTCATGTGGTTCCCTACCTTTAACATCTTATCATTATTATTATTCTATTGATCACATGAGCCACAAGTAAATACAGGGCGCCCTTGAAGTAAGATGTGGTCCACAGATGGCACAGAAGGAACTCAGGCAATGATTCAAGAACATGCATGGTGGCCCCAAAGCCAAAAATGGGTAAATAAAGAAGCATCTTTTTGTTTTTGTGCAAGGTGGCAGATTCAGTTTTAGGCAGGCTAGGGTGAAAGCAATGGGAGGAAACCAGTTGCAAATGTTTAGTGGGCAAGGAGAATTATGGGACTGATGCTTGGGTTAGAGCTCAGGAAATAAAGATGTGAGATACACTGACAAAAAGCAACCTATAAAGACTACTATACTTTATTCACAATGTGCAAATAGAATTCTACAGAAGCTCTGGAAAGAGAAGGAAATTAAGTCTCTCCTAAAGGACACTACTATAGAGACACAAATTTTAGTTCACTTGAACTAAAATATGCATACTTCACGTAGAAACAGGTCTTTCTTATAAACATCATATACTCATTCCAAAACTTTTTAA